GAGTTCAGACGTGTGCTCTTCCGATCCCCCCAAAACCCCAAAACCCCTGAACTGAAAATTAATTTAATTTAAGGAAAAAGAAGTTAAATAATTATAATTTTATAGACTTGGTTGATTTTTATTACTATGTGAATGGATTTGTATGATATGTCAATATCAATTTCTCATGCTAGTTTTATTCTGTTCTATTCTAATTTATTCCTCCACAGACATATTGTTTCTCTTCATTGTGAGATCATCTAAGCTGTTGCCTCCATCCATCATTAAACTTGTATTCATTCTAGCCTTTTGATCTGTTATTTGACTCTAAATAAAGTTTTAATTTATATCTGTTTTAACTTACGAAATTAGTTCTTCTGCCAAACTAAGTCATGAGGGATCTGTTCGCTTTTAGGCCTATCACTTTGTAGTTATGTTTTGACTTAAAATCAATGTAGCCGAAATCACTTGGGGGCCTATAAGTTCCAGGACCTGGTGTAGGTTGGTTTAGAGCAATGTCGGGTCTTTAAGCAGTGCCAAATCTTCTCACTTTAACACTTTTATATGTTGAGATAAGTTGCTTTCCAATGTTCTAGTCCATTTGGCCAGGCAAATCATAGCCTCCTGGCCCTGGAAAATTCGAAGCATTACTGGCTGTTTTAAATCTCTAAGAAGGACTTATGGCAGGTGCCTTTGAATTTCTAGGAATTTATTTAAAAAATGTATAACTTACAAGAATGTAGAAACAAAGTATTTGCCCACGCTATCAATGGATAAAGTGTCTTCGTAGTAACCTGGACCTGGCACATTTTTCTTCCTTTCCATAGCTGCTACATCACCGTATAAAGTTTTCGGACCAAATGAAAATTTTCGCTTATCAGCTCCAATAGATTTCAAACTATCGTATTGACCAGGACCTGGGACTATGGGATCAGGTTAGTTTAATTTAGCAGGCATGACTACTTTATTGAAAGCCTCCCTTCCAGTTCCGAAGCAATAGGATTTATTAATATTCTTAAATCTTTTATCTTGTGTGGATTCTTCGAACACTGACCTCATGGTATATTTATCAGGAGATGGAGAGTCTAAAAATTAATTAATAAATGTCATTTTTGTTAGGAAAATTTATTACCTTTCTTGAAAGCATGTAAGCCTGAGCGATTACCAAATCCAAATGAAGCTCCTCTCATTGCCTTAGTGTTAGGGAGGTCATAGCCAACTTTATCATGAAGAGGCTTTTGCACCATTGGGAATCTCCCTGATTTAGGGAAGGAGAATTTTTATTTAGTGGGAGAGAAGTTTGCCAAATCATAAGTTGTCCACTCTACATTAAACTTAGGATGAATGATTTATGACATTTTATTTAATATTTAAAGATAAAATTGGGAACTTAATGAAATATAATAGAAACAAGTTATTGAATTTAATTTTTAGTCTTATTAATTTGAATCTCATTTTGTCTGAATTTTATTTTCACGTATTAACATATTTATTATCATTCTATATATTCAAACTAATCATCAATGAGTCAATCTTATTATAATGATCATCTCTCTATTAATTTCAAATTTGCTTGCTGATATTTTCCAATTTAAAGATCAAATTTATTGCCTCTTCAAGATCCTCAACAACATGAGTAGCTGGATGTTCTTTCGAATTTCCGGGGCCTTAGTGTATTCCAGTCCTCACTAAAATTGAGACCCAGCCTTGATTGTTTGCCCCCTATATATCAGACTCTGGAGTATCTCCTATCATGTAGTAATTGCTGATATCTATTCCTTGTCTAGCTGCTTTATGCTTCAATAAAGTCTCTGTGAATTCAAAAGTAAGTTTCTCAGGCTTTCCATATTAAATAACTTTGAAATCAAATCCATAATACTCTTAGTAGATACTCCTCAAAGCGAGTAAGAATATTTTTGGTCCGTAACGTGGTGTAGGCCAAGTGTTAGGCCAAATAAAATCTCTATTACAGGAATATACCTTCACATGCTACTCATCTTTGCTTGTTATTCTTTTACCTTTAGGATGACCATTCTAACTTCCAATAATGTCGCTAAATACTTAGAGAGTCATTGATGAGAAGACATTTCCAAACACAATAAATATGGCTGCAAAGTTTAGTTCCTCCATTATATCCTCGATTGGCTTCTAAAACCTCTTTTCAACATTCTCCTTATGCTTTTCTTATTTTTCCTATGAAACTCTAAACTAGTTTAAATTGCAACAATTATTACAATAAGAGATCATTAGGAGCTTGGTCAGGGAAGATTGAAGCAAGTTCCTCAACGTGAACTGCGTATTTATACCCGTAGAGCTGTGCTACTCTAAGTTCGTCAAAAAAGCCTGATACTAGCACATATTTATCCTTGTATTCTTCAATTATTGCCGGGTCTGAGAGTGGAGTATGGCAAAGGAACATGTGCTCTCCTGTGAGTTTGGGTTGATTCTCAGGATTCTATTAGAAGTCAAGTCTTCTGTTCAAATCTTCTGCCTTCTCCTGCTCAGGGATCCCTCCTCCATTAGTCAGAATCATCATTGGGATATGAAGATTCTAGGGTGAGTAAGGCTCAAGCAGAGTCCTCACAACATGAGAGGCTCTACCTATGATAGTTCTGCCCTTGACTATAACTCCATCGTTATCTATCACAATAGCTGGAAGTCTAACAGATATTGATAAAATGAGATGGTTATTTGTTACTTTCTAATGGTTGAGTCGGTTAAATCCATTTAATATTAATAATTGTGAAGAAATCTATTAAGATTCTTCATATCCATTTATTACGCAACTCCAGATCCCATGGGGTTTTGGGGTTTTGGGGTTTTGGGGTTTTGGGGTTTTGGGG